GAGCCCCCTGCGCGGGTGTCCTCCTTGCGAGGGTGTCCCCTCTGTGTGGGGTTCCCCCTTCGTGGTGCAAGAAGGCAGCAGATTGCGCTAAGCTCCTTTTTATTGCTTTGTGGATTGTTTAATTTTAGCTCAGAAAGATCTTAGGAAATTTTAATATACTTTCTTTTCTCTCGTCTAGGATCAAAGTCAGACCTGCAGAGAAATCGATCCAGCTGAGCTTGACGCTAGATTTTGTAATAAGTGCATCTGTTGTCACTTAAAGTACCAGCATGACCAGCAAGGATTTAATTGACGATTTGACTGAGGTCAAGCCAGAACTGGTCTTGGGACACTGTTTCAAACAATACCGGCTGAGAAATATGTATCCACATCTTTTCTTTAAGTTGAAAGCAAGTAGGTTTGGGCCACCCAAATCTAGACGTCGCATTATTTTTGCTCCCCCTATGGCAGGACCAGCTTTTCCCTTTTCCCAGCCACCTCCAGCCCCGGATTTCTGTCAGTCAGCTGTCTCACGGCTGCCCCAGGAGGGAGAAGATAGCCTCTGGTCTCCAAAGATCACCTCCGATACAGAAGATGATCTGAAAAAGGTGGAGGCTTGGATTACGGAAAGGAAGCAATTCCGATCTCAGCTGGAAAGCTTTGTGGATGTGGAAAGATGGCTGATACAAAAACCTTCCCACAGCGATCAAGAAGAAAGAGTCTGGGAAAGGATAAAGGCATGCAGAGCAGAAGACAGAAAGGCTAAAAGCAAGTTAGCTCTGACCCACAGCCCAGAGGTCAGTATATGTTGCACTATTCTGCCCTGAGGTTATTGCAGCGCTGCCCTTGCGTGGGGCCCTGCCACCGCCCCAGTGTCACTCAGACCTGACCGGTGCATGAGGCACTGCAGCACGTTCACTGGTCGTGAAACTGGACGGAAAATATCAGCTGGTGTCAAATCAGAGTTACGCTGCTTTACCCAGCTGGTGTCACAGCTACTGGCACAGTAATTCTGGATAACAGTGATGTCAGGGTTATTTTCCAATCTTTTTCAGTGCTCGCCACCGGAGAGCAGCCAGCTCCGGCGCAGGCGTACCGCTCCCCTTATTCGTGCGCCGTACCCCCAGGCTCTTGTCGTGCTGCACAGCCTCCTGCACAAACACAATTTCAAGATGGTGGACTTATTCAAGAAGGCTAGTATGGACCGGGGGAAAATCATGAGAGAGGACTTCATTAAAGTCATCAAGGAGGTATGTAGGGAACAGAAAAGTAATGAATGGCTGCAACTCTGTCTTATTTTCCTGCATGAAAACCCAGAGTGGTTTCAGTGGAGCAGAGCTTCAGCAAGGGGTATTTTCTCAGGGCAAGGAAGGGTGTGGAGAAGGTGGATGTAACCTAGAGCGAGTCGCAGGAGGGAGGGAAACCCACTGCCTCCAGGTCTAAGGAGAGTCACTGCTCAGCTGTGCAGCTGTCTGGATCCTGCCATGCACCCTGAGCTGGCATCAGACGTCCCAGTGTTGACACTTTGCACAGAGCTTGCCCCCTCCAGGCTCAAATATTTCCCATCGGACTGCCTTTCAGCACACGTTTGTACAGCACCGCTCACATGGAGCCTTGCTTCCCAGGGGCACAGCAATGCAAAGCTGTGAGGTCTATCAGGATTTAGTGGTTCAGCTGTAATCTTATATGATAGTCCACCCCTGAAGGTCTTCTCAAAACCCAGAGGGCTGGGAACTTTGGCATGTTAACAGCTGAGAGCTCTGCAGAAGGCAGCAAAGGCCCAGTAATGTTAATAAGCTGGATAGACCCAAGTAAACCTCACCAGGTCGTCCTTGTGCCCTGCCTACCTGCAAGCACAGCTGGAATAACAGCAAAGCTCATCCCTCCTGGCTCTGTGGCAAGCCTCGGACTTTTAATGATCACAGTGTCATTCTGTTTTCAATCACCAGACCAAAATTCCCATAAGTGACAAGGATTTGGAGGATGTGATCATCTTCCTGACTTCCTCAAAACGAGGGAATTTTATAAGCAATGATGATCTGATTGAATGTCAAAATCGGTGGCTGGAAATGATGCAAGGGCAATGCAGAGGGACCAAAACAGGTGAGAGGAAAACACTGTGCTGGGAAAACACCTCTATATGCTTACCAAAGTGGATGCAGGATATGATTCCTCTAGATCATTGCCCTGTAGCAGAGTGGCCAGGAGGAGGTTTCTCTGGGGAAAAGCTGAGGAATCCTGTCAATACTGCAGTCAGCCCAACTGCAGGAGAAAGATTATCTAATCTTTTGGGTTTGGCTTAAAATCTGAAGCCTGACGTTTAACATTCTGTACAGGATTTTGTTAGCTAGTGTTGATCATCCAGTTGATCAAAAATTGACCTTTCTCCAGCTGTTGGTGGCAGCTGGAAAACACAGATTCAGAAGAGCTCGTTTTTTAAAACCTACCCCAGACCTGAAGGCTTGTCGCAGTACCTGTGTCATCTTAAGCTGCAGTTTTCACATCTATGAGATAAGAGGCATTTTGCTGCCCTTGTGTTGTACTCACTGTTTTGCAGATTAAACATACGTTGTAAGCAAACAAAATACCTCAGGAAACTGTAAACTAGAGGTAGTCTGTAATATTCATGTCTGGATCAAAAGCCAAAGGATGTTTTCATTCAAAGATTTGAGTCTGTGGGGAGTTCCAGCTTGCATGAAAGGCAAAACCCCTTTGTCCTGAATGTTGATCAGTCCAGACGTTTCTCTGTACTACTTTGTAGCACAGTTTCTCTGGACTTTTTGTTTGTTTTTTAATTTATCATAGGTGTACAAGCTCAGTGCCAAAAAGCCACTAACAAAACTGCCAGTTGCCCGACTTCTGCTGGGGGCAAAGCCAAAGAAGTGAAGCCTCTCGCTCCTACCAAGCCTGAAACACAGTTAATACTGCTAGAAGTTCCCCCGATCAACGCTGAGCCAGAACGCAGATATCTAAGCTACGATGACATGGAAGAGATTGGAAAGCAATTCAGAGACAGGAGGCGATGGAAGAAGGTACCGTATATGTGACAAGGGAACAGGTGCACCTGCGTACATTGGCAAGTGCGGCGTGCGTTAGAGGACAGTACAGCAGTAAAGAAAAGAGCATGGGGTTTACTGTGAATATTAACTTTTTAACAGTCCCTTGGCAACGCAGTGCCTTGCAGCGGAGGTACTACAAACCCTCTGAAACAATTGCTTTGGCTTCTGTACGCTTTGGTGAGATAAATACTTTTTATGGGTAAATGGCAAGAAAAAGACGTTTTGCAGATGATGCAATTTTTATGTATGGTGATGGAAGGTCTTTTTCTGATTGTCTAGTCTACCTGTCCACCAGACCATGATTTGTCCCTCAAGATGCTGATGGGCACTTTCTTCTGTTTAGCATCAGCATCAGTGTAAGATGGTCAAATGGACATATAAAAATGATTCATTCACCCCAAAATATTTCACTTGGAGCATCTAGGGTTGGACGAGCTCTGGCAGAATCCAAGGCAACCTCCTCTTGCCTGGATGCCAGCATGCTGCCCCACGCTCCCTGGCAGCTAGCTTGCCAGAGCCTGTGGCTCCTGGACACAGTCAGAAAATAGAAGATGACTGCAAGATTTTATTCATCTGAGGCACCTCTGTTCAGTGTGCTGCTCTTCTAACAGATACTCTAGGGAGTCTCTCTCTGAGGAGCCAGCTCTGGAAGGGAGCTGCACCCACAGAAGGTGCCTGGTCCCACTGCAGGCTGCAGAGTCCTGTTTGCATGCCATTTTGATATGAATCCTTGCCTGTAGCTCCTCTGAAGGGAATGTCTCTCTGATCCACTACGGCACAAACACACTTGCCCAGTAATGCTGATCAGAAGCAGTTCTTTACTTGCAGAGCAAAGACACCCCGATAGAATGGAAAGAAAAATGTCGGCTGGTCAGATCTGGGGATAAGTCCGTTGACGAGCATTGCTTGCCATCGACTCTAGAGGGTGACATGGGAGAACTGGTTGACCAGTATCGCAGGAGTTGCTTTGTGACCTATCTGAAGAGCCTCAAGCTGTGCAAAGACTATAACGTTTGTCTCACCAAACCGGTGCTGCAAAAAGGTAAAGCAGAGACCAACACCTTGATGTGAATGCACTACATCTGGCAGACTTGCATCTCTTCCTGAGCCCAGAAACATGACTCATGTATGGGGGCTGCTGGTGAGGCATGTCTGCAGCCCGAGGAGGGCGATGGGATGCTGCTGGTTACGATCAAGAATACAGTCAGCAGGCCCAGGGGAGGGCCTGGGTTTTGGGAGCTAGGCTGCCACTGGGCTTCCCAGAGGATGGGGCAGAGGCAGAGGACTCTGTCTCTGTTAGTTCATCTTCTCCTGCTATCTCACCGGTAAATCCCACATCCCAGTGTGGCGCGCAGAGCAGCCCCAGCTGCTGAGGAGGCAGTCACCCTCAAAGCTTGTCCTGCCATGAGGTTGGGACACCTTTCTCCCCTCCTGCTGGGGTGCAGCACGGGCAGCTGTTCCTGAAGGAACAGGGAGCCAGGAGCTGAACACGATACCACAGCCAGCAGGGCAGGGGCCTCGCCGGCCAGGGCCCAGCCCCACAGCGCCCAAGCTGGCAGCCAGGTTCAACCAGGAGTCCAGATCGTCCAGCAAATTCATGGTGACAAGGCAGGGTCCAATTTCAGGCTGGGCAGTCAGCCTGCGGGTGAGGATCAGCGGGGTCCATGACCTGGCCAGGCACAGGCAGGGCTGTGGCAGGGCGGGAGACTGGCACGCCTACAGTGCAGCTCGGCCAGGACTGCAGCCCCGGGCTGAGCTTAAACAGGGTCTGGGGCCCTGGCAGGGCGTGGGGGGCGCTCGGGTGAGGCTGTGCAGGGCCTGCTGGTGCCCTCAGTGCCCTGACACCTTCCCCCTTCCCATCGTGGCTGTATCCCCTCCCGGACAGAATCACAGACTGAAACGGAGATGACCTGGACCATTTGGGTAGGGACAGCAGGGGTACAGACCTGGGGCAGCTGGAGAATTTAAGTTTTCTTGGGTAAACATATTCAGCATCTGCTGCCCTTACACTCTTGCTGTGTGGGGCAAGCCGTGACTGTTCTCTTTTCATTGTGCGCTTTGCCAACAGCTCTGCTGTACCCGGGAGACAAGATCATAAAAGAGGGAGAAGACATACGGAAAATCAGGCAGCCCGGAGCGTCCTACACCACAGCCCACACGTCACCTTTGAGTGCATCCAGATCAAGAACAGCATCCAGAAAGCAGGCCAGAGAAATGCAAAACAGGTTTGTTTACACAGAGTTTAAGATCAGTCCCCTCCTGCTGCCCTGTTGTGTATCACTCCTCTACGCTTGTTCCCCACTGCATCTGAGGTGGTACCAACACGTTGGAGTGAAATACTAGGATGTTGCAAGGGAGCGGCCAGTGTCAACAAAGGGGAAGATTCTCTCCTCAGCTACACGGACGCTTCTGTATTTTAGCAAAGCCATTGGGTTGCGGTGGCGCCAGTGATGCCTGGCAGGAGCATTAAAGACTAGTTGGCTCTAGTTCTGTACTGCGAACCTGCAGAGAGCTACAGAGGTGACAAAACTTCTTTCCTAAGAAGGTCTTCCTCAGAGTGACCCAACACTGTCTGAAATCCACTCAAAGAATATGTATTATGAAAGAAAGATAATCCCAAAGAATCAACCTTTACTCTCTGATCCTGAGTGGCTTTACAGTTGCAGCTGCTTTGCTCTTGTTATACTGAAAACACTGGATTTCAATTGTTAAACCTAATGGCTACAGGGCTACAAGAATAGGTTCTCAGAGGAAAACAGCGTGGTCCAATTTTCCCCCTACCCAACCAGGGCTGCCAAACGGCAAAGAATTTTCTCTCTCCAAAATCTGAACAATCCAAACTGTTTGGATCGGTGGAGAAGCTTTCAGAGAGGAAAAGCATAGCAAAGTGGGGCATAATCTTCTGTCTTTATCTCAGTTAAAGAGGATTTAGAGAGTATTTAAAAAAAAGGAGCGTTAAAGAGCATAGAGGTGCTATGGTGATGGGCAGTGTAACAGCTCTTAAGATAGTTTCGCCAGATGGCATTTCTAATGTAAATAACGTATAATAATAACGTACAACAGATACACCCGATCAGGCAGTAAATATTTGGGTCTAACACAAGGAAAGCTGAATTGCCATTCCCTCTAAAAGGTCATTTGTCAGCCCAGTTTGTCTTGACTTGTGAAAGGTAGGCAGGTTGAATATGCTGTTGAGAAAATACCTGGGATCAGCATCTCAATCTGTTCAAACAAAAGCATTCATAACTCTAATCTCAGAAATATCAGAAAAGGGCATAGGCCTGGCAGAGCTTCCTGGAGCCTGGAAGCCCTGGTAGCTGGTTCCTGTCAGTCTCACTTTTGCCATTACTAAAAGGAGCAGTGAAACTACCCAGAATTTAATCTCTGTAAAACATATTACTATTCTATCTTTTTTTTTTTCTCTCCAGGCAGCTCCAAAGGAAAAAAATGCAAAAGTTTGCCCACCTAAGCAAGTCAAACGACAATAACTTCTGGCCAGGTCACCTTCTGGACAAGATACGCCTTTATCTACCTGCAACGGAGCCCGGCAGGGCGCACGCCCTGTTCAGCTACGTTCACTCAACCAAGCCCGTCTATCGCGGCATCTACAACCCTGACCGCAGCTGGCTTCTCAGCGAGCAAGGATACTTGACCTACGGAGATACTGCATTCAGAAAGACCTATTTCATCTGAGGCTGTTTGCACAGCAGCATGAGCTGCGAGCACAGGTTTGTGATCTCTCAGTCGACTATCTCAATGGATCTGGGCCGTGCTCATGGAGGAAATAAAGGTATCAAACAGTATATACTCAGGTTAAAGTTAGGGGAGCTGGAGCAGCATGAAAACACACTTCTCACCTGGGAGCTGTTCTGCTCATCCAGTAACAAGGGGCCATTTTGTGAAGGGTAAAGAGTTCCTGCTTCCTGGGCACAAATTAAGCGTAAGGGAGGTAGTTAAGGTGGGGGGGAGCAGGTGGCAGAGGCCAGCCTGCGTGACATCCAGCTGCCGGTTCCTACCCTTCCCTCGGGGCGCCAGTTCCCCGAGGTCTGGCCTGCCCAGCGCTGGTGGGTCTCCAGGGACGCCGGGTACCAGCAGTGCAGTGACCCGTGCCAGCTGCATGGCCCAGCTCCGTCTGCGTCCCTGGCCTGGGTGGAGGCAGTTGCCACATCACTAACCCTCTATTTCAGTGCCAGGAGAGAAAGTCAAGCTGATTCAGGCAACAAAGCAAAATTTAGGTTGACCCAAAGGCACGTCAAGGAAAAGTCCCTGCCTCCCTAAGGGGAGGTCCCCATGTCCCTGGGGAGGTCCCGTGTCCCCAAGGTCCCTGTGTGCCCAGGGGGAAGTCCCCTGTTCCCTGGGGGGCCTGTGCCCCAGGGGAAGGTCCTGTGTCCCCAAGGGAGGTCCCCGTGTCCCTGGCAGGGTCCCATGTCCCCAATGCCCAGTGTCCGCA